AGAGTTTATCTTAATGTTTGTATTTTAGCCAAGCAATACATGTACATCTGTTGTTAAAAGTAAATAAGAAGATTGCATGTCAGTTTATTGATTTGGTATATGTTTACATGTATTCTAAAGGTTACAGAACTAAAAAGTAAAATCACAAAAATACTGATCTCCGAGGAAAATTCAAAAAGGAAGGTCCATAATCAAATGGCAAAATCAAAAGCTCAAACACATCAAACGAATGGATAACAACTGTCATATTCCTGACTTGGTACAGGCATTTTCTTATGTAGGAAATGGTGGATTTAACCTGGTATTAAAACAAGCTAAACCTCTTACTTGTATGACAATCGCGACAAATTCCATTAAATTGACAACATTGTGTGAACAAATCAAACAGACATAAATACGTTTTAAATTTGCTAACATCTTCCAATAATCATACAGCACTGAGCAAGTAGTCTAAAACAGTTCGTTGATAACGAGTCATCAGTAACAATGATAATGTGTCATCTACCAACTGCTTGTTAAAGGATAAGTTTACAAAATAATTATATTTGGTACAATTCCAATTATAGATGCCACGTTTTTTTTCGAAAAGCCAAAACAATTAATTTAAAATTTTCAGAGTATCTCATTAAACCAAAAACAACTTGAGCAGAACAGAATAACCGTCAAAGATCATATTTACCTGTGAATGTTACAACATTACTTTTTGTTCAAGTTAAAGCTTTTAAAAAAATGTGCACTATTCATAATTACTCCATCAAGTATTCTATATAAAGAAAAATAGAAAGTAACATAGGGACCTAATGGGTAATGTTTTTGATTATTGGCCAAAAATTATAATTTTCATAGTGAGAGTTCTAATGTATCATACATTAACATACATCAAGAAAAAAAATGTTTTTTTGTAAAAATAAATTTTTAAGAATTATTTTCTGAAGATTTATAGAAGTCAAACGGATTATAAGACATATTCTCAGAATGTCTCAAATTAAAAAAAAAATGAGATTTTTTGCAAATAAGTCAGTTATGATTAAATAAAACTGATAGTAATCCTGAACGTAACAAATTTATTTATCAGCTAAATGAATGCTAAACGATTAAGTATCGATAAAAACATAAAGGTCTGTGGCCTGGATTTTAACACGTTTACAAATAGGTTTTGTTATATACACTCATGACAATTCGGGTTATTTCTCTTTCCATACACAATGATACGAAAGTACTGTAGGACTTGTTGATGTGGTTAGCTATGCTGACTTATATTTTTGATAGATCGTGTTAATAAACGGACCACTGGCGCTGAAAAAACCAACAATACAAAGTATAGAAAGAATACCTAATATTTATTTCTAATAATACAACAAGTATACGTCCAAAATTATGTATGTGTGGACATTTGATAGGTCGTAGATAAGATGTTTTACCACTTCAAGGGAGACAAACAACCCGTAAGCCAAAGGATTGAAAAGAGCATATCGCGGACCCTATGATAACATAAGTGTCAAAATATCCCTACTACGTACAAGAGTGGACTGGACGGAGACCCCCACCCCCCTGTGTACACAAATTTCTGCATAACAACTGTCTCTCCGGTTTTTTTTATGCAAACAACATGAATAACGTGTCCTTATGATAGTAATTAAATTTTGTTATGATTATTGTAAAATATTAATGACGTTTTTTGTGAGATGCAAGGAATTAAACTCCTTGTGAATTGAAGCCATGCAAGTATTTTTTTTTTATTCACGACTGTTTAAACTTTAGATATTTAGCTAACTTTGGGTTCGCATCCCTGCTCATTGGTACTCATACGTTGCATATAATTTTCATAAATGTAATATCTGTTCAAACCTGTGAGACATAATGCACGTATATATGACAATTTAATTATATTCTAGTACAAATAAAATTCAGTCACAGTTTAAACTTAAAAATGAATATCCTCTTAGTCTGTTAGTATCTATTAATGAAATAAGATATTTTTGACAGAAAAATCCTTTTGTTTGATGATCTTTCTGCTTTCCGACCACTGTGTTTCCGACATAAGATAAGAAACATCGTTTTCTTAATTTTCTTCATTCTTTCCGACATTTTCCCATGCAATGATTGAAATAAAAAATATCAAAATGATAAACGTTCACAAATAATCAGTTTATTCTGGGACATTATATATATTTATATCAATAAACTATTCCCAGGTTTATTGTCACAATGCACAACAGCACGCTGCATTAAATACTACACACACAACGCGTACAGGGACCGTCTCAAAGCATGAATTATATAATTGCGTTATCATTTTACTTGATATTTAATAAACATTCACATTATTAAAAACACATATATTTTGTGAAAAGACAAAGAGGTTCTTACATATAAAATTGATGACTTTTTGACTGCAACCTATTTTTTATTGTTTATAACTTTCCAATCTACAAATGAACTTTGATTGTTGAAATATACAATATCACGTAGAAGCCTATCCATAGAGGGACCGTATCAAAGATATAAATAACTACCTATATAAATGATCAAAAATGTTCGAGATGTTCCGAGAATCTTGATTCCGAGGATATCGAATGGCCCATAGACACTTCAAAAACTTACCAATATATAAGCATGAACCCCTCAGGGGTTCACGCAATAATAAGCAGCCCTAGATACAGGTGTAAATGAATATTCTATCGGCGAAAAATCTTCCTATCAATCCAGAATATCAAATCGTAGACCCCCTCACCCGTTATAGACTACGATAAGGTATTTAATATGTATGGCATTTTTTTTTAAAGTTATGAAATGAAATGTGTAGGCTATAACCAAGCATTATAACAAAATAAAAAAAGTTTTTAAATTTCTAATGGGTGAACTACAAACACAGGCCTGGTATAAGATTGCACGTTACATGTCTAGATAAAACTTTTTCACACAGCTTTACTGGCGTTATCAGTAGTATAAATAAATGTTTACTTTTTATTATTTTAAGTTAACTCATTAATGATCATTCTTTAAAGTTACTTACAGGCGGAAACCCAGTTGAAACCAAACAAAAGAAATAGAACTGTTTGTTAGAGAAGGGGAAAAAAGCTAAATTGGTATATTTGAATTGTTTACATCTGTTTCTATGAGCTTTAAAGGCTTAATAAAAGTGCATAATGTCGGATGTTTTGCATCTTATATACGTGTTTTTACTTGAATTATAGTATGGAGGTTCGAGATATTTGTAAACTTTTAAATTATTGACAAATTATTTAATAAAACAGTTGATTTTGGAAGGTTCAAATCCAAGTGGATATTTTTTGTGCATAAGCATAAATTCCACAGATAGATAAAAGAATGATCTTTCTAAAGCATTCATTTGCATCTCTGCCCCCGGGGATAGTTGTTTGGGAAAAAATCCCAAAAATGGGCAATAATTGCTTCGAAAAGATAAAGTCGGGTGCACATTTTTATGTTCGGGCGTGTTTGAGTTGACTATTATGTCTTGAAAATGTTTAAAGCAAAACTATTTGATACATCATCTCGCTTCAGATTCTATTTTTTTTTATATATTTAAGCTACAGTTTCATTTAATAACATTAAAAATTCACAGTACTAAAGAATGAAATATATGGGTCAAGTGAAATACCTTTCTAATGAGTCATAACAACAGAGTAGGTGTGTTCGAATAACAAATTTTTACTAAAAGTACTTGGCGACAGACTTTACAACTGGATCTTAAAAATGCATAATTTAAAAAAAGCTTCATTTTTTGTGTGTGTTATCCAGGGTTATTACTCGACAACCTCCGCACATTTTAAGTCTGCCCTTCCACGAAATATTTTATTAGAATTTTTTTAAATGTTTTTGAACTTTCGAAAATTCCACCAGACAACCGATCAGACCATAATTTTAAGTTGAGTGAATGCAGAAAGTACATTAAATGATGCGCTATAGCTATTAGATACATTTGTCTTTTAAAATATAACTAGCATATAAGGATCGTAATGGTGCTATGTAGATAAATTTATTGGTTTTCAAGAGCTACATTGGCAGCGCGTCATCCCTACAATAGTTCCACTTTTACGATTGTAAAAATTGACTGGCATAATGGGGAGATAATTTTGACGAAGTAGAATCCTGACTGACTTAGAACTAGATTAATCGTTTAACTTATCTAACTGATTATATCTACTTCGTGTATTTTGAAGATGCAACATGAAAGTCTGTAATACATGTACCCATAATTAATCATACAATATAAATTGACGTCTATTGAATGTTTTCGCGTGTGACAATACACAGAAACAACTAAATAAAGTTTACGAGGACTTCATTCCATTGATTGATTGGTCATTGCTTGCTTAACGTCCAGCGGCAATAATCAAGACAAGAACACATTTTGAAATAATAAGAATAAGAATAAAATTTGTTTATTATAGTGTCACATATTGATTGAAACAAGACATACACATAATATTTATATAAACACAAATAACAGTCTATATCAAGCCAAAAAAATGACTTATGAGACACTGACCTTAAAACCAAAATATATACTGTAACAACAAGAATGTGTTTATAGTACAGGGATGCCCCACTCGCACTATAATTTTTTTTATGTTCACTGGACCGTAAAATTGGGGTAAAAACTCCATTTTGGCATCAAAGTTAGACGGTTCATATCATAGGTAACATATGTACTAAGTTTCAAGTTGATTGGACTTCAACTTCATCAAAAAAACACCTTGTCCAAAAACTTTAACCTGAAATGGGACAGCGGACGGATGGCTGGAAGGACGAATGGACGGACAGGGGTAAAACAATATGTCCGTCAACTTTCAGTTGCGGGGACATAAAAAATGTTTCTTAAAACTTATGCGTTTAAAGTTTTACCACAATTTTCACAAAACGTATATGCTACTTATAATTATGAATCATAATAGCTCTACAAAATAATTTTAAAACCATCATGTGCTTTCGGAGATTTTACGATTACAAGTTTTTTTTTAAGTTAGGAGATTTTTTTTCTTTTCGAAGGTAATTTTTCTATGACCACGAAAAAATTATATAAACAATTACATATCACGAAAAAACGACTGTAACAAATTTTATCGTGTCTTATTCCTAACAAACGTAGCTTTTAATTTAACCAGCAGACAAGAGGACGGACAATGCAAGCAAAACTAGAAAACTCTCTCATTTTTTATGAGGGCACTCACTACATAGGTTATTATAAGTGATACCAATCCTGAAAATACAGACAGATATCTGGCATTTAATGATTAAAGAAAAACATATTGCATTAAGTTTCTTTGATTAAATTTGACAAAACGTTTTATTTTGTGCAAACAACGCAGTGCACAGTCACTGCATTTTTGTACGGTGGACACCTCAAACTGCCACAATTGGTTTTTACTCCATAAAATAAAGCTCCGTTTTCATTCTTATTCTTATCGTCCACAGGCTCGGCATCTTTGTCAACACATACATATTCCTTGCTGCTGTGATCCTTATGATCTGACATGATATAACCGGTGTACTCAAATGTCCAGCCCTTGTAACAGGTTTTTCTCCCTAAAAGGATAAAAAATATTGACTCAATCCCGTTCATCTTGTACACCTTAACTAATTTTTAAATCGTTTTGCTACGAACTTAAACTACATCTGCATCATTTTGTTTAAATTCTCGAGTAATCAATTACAACTAATGAACCCTGTCTACTTTAAAGGTTATCTTGAATTGTTTGTACAGGATGGAACATAATAACGTAATTGTCAGTTATTTCCTGGTAATATTTCGTTTTCTGAGAAAACTTTAATAAGAGGTGAACTTGAGAGTATGTTTTGTTGACGTTTTAAAAAATACCGTCAATCCGGACGGATATCCATCATTAGATACATATATAGTCTGCTTCAAAATGAAGGTGTTATACAATGAACCAACATGTAATTATGAAAGAGGATCTAGTACAAAGGGGGCAAAAAACACACACGAGTAAAAGAAAAATAAATGACACCATTGCCACGAGAAAAAAGACTAACATACATTAAAGAATTCGCAAAAGAATACACAGAAATAAAGAAAAATAGGATCAGCATTGCGACTGTGAGTAATGAGAGCTATTGGTGATCATCTATGAAACAAGTGTTCCATAACGGTTAACCAAGTAATGATGGCCACTGCAAAAATTTTGAAGAGCTGATTTCAACTTTACACTTGGGAGTCTTTGGTTCAGTTTCCCTGAAAACATTATTCCTCTATCGAAGAAATCATGATCGGATACGGAAGCCCTGGAGTATCATATCAACTTGGAGATACATACTCCGTATTCAGATCCTGCTTTTTCTTTTTCTCCTAAAAATTAAAGTTTACAATTCGAAAATGTAAATAATGTATCGTCTAAATGTTTTGTTCTTTACGGATCCCCGCTTTCGACATGTGAGGAAGACTTAAGAATCTGTGTTAATAAATAACTTCATAATTAAACCATTATTAATTTTTCATCAATTCAATAGTAAAAGATATATCTACCTGGTATCATAAGAACAGTTGATCTTTTTCTTTGGTAGCAAACAGCACATGGCACCTCATTATCGGTCAAAGTGCTTTTCATTCCTGATGGTCTATTTGGCGAAGTAAGCTCATATTGGCCACCAACTATCTGGTCATTGGTACCTGATAATGGTTCTCCGTTTTCGGGGTCGTTTGGTAAGCTTAAGTTTGTTACACCTCCTCCTTTATATGTATATTGGTTACCACCAACTTGTCCTTGAATAGAAATAAATGTATGTACTTTATTGCTTAGACATGTAACGTTTTTCTTCAAAATATCGTTACAATTAAAAAAAACATACATGCGCTTTGCAGAAGAAAGATTCGTGAAATGAATAAACAAACGATAATTAAAATCTACTTGCAACTATGGGGATAACTGATTAGAAAGTCCAGTCTTCGAATAACTTCTGACAGCAGTTGTTCTATACTAGACAGGATTTTGTCGGTTGTATCCAATATAAAATTCTAAACTCAGATTGTTTGTTCTTGAAAAGATTATTCTTACCGTTTTGAAGACAAATTAGCACTGACTCTAACTGTATAGTGTAAAAAGAAGTCATTGGTTTTATCTAACGTAAGAACATCAGTGTTACACCGCAAATTCGTTTTGTCTGTTTCGATTTAAAAACCCATAGGGATCAAGTACTGATAATCTGTATACTTTACTTTCAAACTTTCAATTATAATACTATGGAAATAAAATAATGTGTAAAAAAAACATAACGTATAGATGTTATAGTTGTTTCATTAAAATGACGCCACTTCTAAATTAAATATAAATGGAATCCATGTGAACGAATTTATGCGCAAACGTTATATAATGTAAAAGTTTGTTATTGAACTATGCATGGCAAATGAAAACCAAACATTGACATGTTGAAGGCAAAGTTGTTCAGATCAAATGATAGAGAAAAACTCTTACAAAAGCAACTTTTTTCGTTTTTAAGTAAATTAAAAGAAACTGAACTATGCACCTTTTGTTAAGAAATCAGAGAAAATTTGTTTTCACATTTCTGGCTATCCATAATAGACTGGATTAGACTTTATAACATTGTACTGCGTTTTGGCGAAAGAGAAGTCATTTTGGGTGTGTCTTGGGAGTTTGTTTACAGTAAAACAGTAATTAATATTTTGTTGATATTTTAATTTTGTGGGATAGAATATTAAAAAGACTGGATAAATAGTGAGAAATATTCTGTATGTTTCTTAACCCCTTCACAAAAAGTTTGCATAGATCAAAGGTGGCAATTGTTAGAAGAAGCTTTTAATTAACCATATCAATTTTAATATATATCTTATTATATTATTAATTCGTATATTTTAACTAATTTGATTCGTTCAAGGATAGTCACATGTTAAACTATATTTTCGAAGGTAGATAGAAAACGGCGGATAGCAAAAGTGATATTGCACGGTTTTTTTTAGAATATCGAAAAACCGATATGTGACGAAATCTAATAAATTTCATGATATTGTTAAAGGTTTTTGAAAATTACATATTAATGATCGATTTTCTAAAAAAAAAAGCCTTCAAATATATAAGATGTACACAAAAAAAAACATAAAAAAATAATTTAAATTACAACTAATATGTTGTAATTGTCAAATAGACAATTTTAATTAATATGATATCTATAAAATTCCAACAAAATTAAATGATCGAAAAAAGAGAATATAATACACTGACGGTTTTGATACAAATATAGTCGAAAATTAATAATATAACAATTGTAGCCTTTGTATGAGGTCAATGCAGGATATATTGACCCAAAGAAGTATATCGACCTCATACTTCGTTCTCAGTCGATATACTTCTTTCAGATCAATATATCTTTGTATCGACCTCATACAAAGGCTTTAATTGTATAATATTATTAATTCGTATATTTTAACTAATTTGATTCGTTTAGGGCTAGTCACATGTTAAACTATTGAATACGAATCGATTGTGAATCGGATTCGCTTATCGCGTTTACACACTCTTCTTTTTTTTTATTCGAATCGAATTCGAATTGGCTAATTCGCATTATCCAATTCGCATTAGAAATGCGTTTTCGTTAATACGAATTAGTTTATTCGCATTAATTCGAATTAAACTGTGGTGTGGACACTTTCTAAATTGTATTTCGAATTAAATTATAATTAATTAATTGATAATGCGAATTAAAAGTTAACGTCGTTCGGACAGTAAAGCGAATTTGACGCGCATTGCAATTCGAATTAGAATTTACGTTGGAACGTAAAACGTTTCGAATGCGAATGAAACTAATTCGAATTAGTTAATGCGAATCGAATTCGAATTAGGTGTCAACGCAGCATTAGAATATCTAAAAACCGATATACTTCGTGACGTCATCTAATGAATTTCATGATATTGTTAAAAGTTTTTAAAAGTGTATAGTTATGATCGATTATTTAAAAAAAAAAATTCAAAAACATTAGATGTACACAAAAAACACAACGAAATAATTGAAATAACAACTAATATGTTGTTGTTGTCAAAGTGACAATATGATATCTATAAAATTCCAACATAATTAAATGATCGAAAAAAGAGAATATAATGCACTGACGATTTTGATTCAAATATAGTCGGAAATTAATAATATAAAAATTATAGCCTTTGTATGAGGTCAATACAGGATATATCAAACAAAAGAAGTATATCGACCTCGGACTTCGTCCTCAGTCAAGATACTTCTTTCAGGTCAATATATCCTTGTATCGACCTCATACAAAGTCTATAATTGTATACTATCATTATGTCTTGATCAATCTTACACGTGTTACTGAATTTTTATAATTTGTGTCTAAAATTGCAGTATGTAATTCCACGTGTTTTATCATGGAAAATAAAACCCATAAACCTCAGTTTCTGATATAGAACTTTTCTTCCGATTACCTGTATATACGATTTCTACTCCTTTCTGACATCCTTTCCTTCCCCAACGTACATATGTCACACCTAGATGAATGGACAGTAACACGATGTTAGTTATTTCGTGTATTGAACTTTGATAATAAATATCAACATTTCAAATTATATGAATATGCTCAGTACCATATGAATATTTGGACCATACGCGTATGGTCATGATTATATGTGTATACCCATATGACCATATGAGGTTTGGTTATTAACGAGCCGGACCATATGAATATTTAGACAATATTGGTATTTTTCAAATGAATTATAGTATCCTTCGCAGGAGCACACAGTTTATTCTCGAAACCTAAACCGGTACGAGTTATTTACTGAATTCCTTTATCTTTACATATTGTATGAATCTTGGTGTATCTGTTATCCCTCGGTTTTAGTTTGTAACCCGGATTTTATTCTCTCAACCGATTTATGACTTTTGAACAGTGGTATACTACTGTTGCCTTTATTTATCTTGCCTTCGCTAAAACTAACTTAGAGCGTTTTATCTTTCTTGGTGTAACTGCACGTTATCTTGCATTCGCTAGAATTAATTTAGAGCGTTTTATCTAGTCCTTTTCGACTGCAAGTGAAACAACGAGCGTTTTAGGACATGGGCCTTTTTTTCTTTTTTCTTAGTGTTAAAATTTCTTCTTATCTCAACTTACTTTTATTTAATTGTTGTGTTCGTTTTCCTTTTCTTATGATTTTTCTGCTTTTTTAAGATCGTTTAAATAGGAACAAGAACACATTAAATAACTAAAAACAATTTGCAATATTTAAGAAACTTTAAAAACGCCCAAACAAATACGCATATGGTCCGGAACATGTATATCATAATTCACGAAAGACATTTTTCCTGATCTGTAATTTCTTAAAAATACAAAAGAGGTCGTCTTATCTGCAAATGTACAGCTAGTGTCATATCCCCTATCATGATATTTTTTTGTATTTTCATTCTAATGGCAGGTGACACATCCGTAGAATGAACTACTCATCGTGTCAACACATTCAATATTGTTCCGTTTGGGGTTTTTTGTGTCTTGATGTGCATACTTTTAAAAACAAATGATTCACGCGTTTTGACGATCGGTATACTGCAGTTGCCTCTTACAAAATAACTTTATTTGGTATTTTTCTTAATTGTTTCCCAATTTTGACTTTTCTCTTACTATATATGCTATAAAGAATGATTTCAAAGTACTTAAGAAAGGTTTTAAAAAAAACATATAAATTGGTAGCGTGTTATCTTTTTTTGTAATGCTGTTTTAAGAGAATAAAGTCAAAAAAGCTATTTGTGACCTTTCAAGAATATAAATGACTTTGACCATCTACATGAATTTAAAAAAAAGAAGTTTTCTCTTATTCAGAAAGGTGTTGTTTTGGTAGTATAGAATTATGCAGCTTTTCCATCTTAAACATGTTTAAGCTTAATTTATTCTTTTGGTTTGTTTTTTAGTTGTTCATAAGAGGGAGATTTTTTATGTATACACTGTCATAGTTAGTGCTATAATGTTTGTCTTTGCGTCAATTCGCGTAAATTTTCAATTAGTCGTTGTGTTTTCTGTTTTCTGTTTTTGTTTTTACTTTTTTACAATAAGCAAACATAAACAGATACATGTACCTAAGACATTGTTGAGTAAATGATGCACTTTAGTGTTTAAAAATTAAATATGTTAAACATTCATACCTGAGGCGACCGGCTTTCCTGTTGAAAGGCCTTCCTCTTTTCTGGAGGTACGAAGGTAATGCTTCATAAGAAAAGACTGGTCAGATGCCGATAGGTCATAATCTTTACAATCATGACATTGGACAAGTACCATACGTATCGCTATGAACACTACCAAATATGACAAGAACATGTTTGCTGCTACAACAAATAGACATTAGATAATTCTAAATTTAAAAGATCTATAATTTCAACACTATAGAAAAGAGCTTTACGACTTAAGTGTTTATAAGGGAAGCATATATCTGTAAGTACTATTTCATGCATTGCAAACTTAAGCAATCCTCTGACATATGTCAACTCGTACAGTACACTTATTTAAAAAAAATATCAACTATTGTGTTGCGTATATGTTTTTTTTGTTTTTTTCAAATAACAACAGACAAACAATAGTACACAAAACATAGAAGACTAACGACTGATTACCTCACCTCACCTATCATCTTCATGACGGTCGGCATTTAAGGCCCTGCTCAACACGGACCCAACTCAAAACTGGGGGCAATCAATAGGGTAAGCAGATCTGTTTCACATCTCGTATATGAAATTATCAACATATTGTCA